TATAATCTTAAATTCAATTTCTCCTTTATTTTACATTAAATGTCTCCGTTATTTATCAGGATGATAAAAAGGACTCTCGTCGATCTATTAAATCTTCCCGTGATTTTATTCGATACATGTGTCGACAGTTGATCTTCGTCACCGGCGGAAACGCTATTGTCTGAAAACATCTCCTTGAGATGGAAAAACGGAGGGCGGTTAAAGGGACCCCGGAGGGATCGCAAGATATACAACCGAGTCACCGGTGGCAATAGGCACGCGACCGACACGCGCCCATTCTCTCCATCTCTCTCTTTCCCTAACGTCTCATCTCCAGGCTCGAATTCTCTTTTCCACCGTTCTTCCCTTTAACACGCGTGCGTCTACAAGACGCATGCGACCCACGCACGCGATCATCCCGGGGCTTTGTGCCCACATGGGAAACTCAAAACATCAGTAGTAGTAATAATCGGTAGGTCCAATGGTGAGACGATTTAATCAAATTTTTTCGTACAATTTAAATTGTAGAAAATTCTATATACATATATGTATCTCTTAAAATTAAATTTTAGCAAAAACATATTTAGTCGTGATTTCTCTGTTATTTACATCATCTTTAATAATATAAACAAGGAGATAAATACTAAATTATTAGACATTAAATATGTATTTAATAATTATAAATATTAAATTATTTCACGAATAATCCGATTAATTAAAGAGATGTGAATACAAATAATAACAAAAACTAGCATATTGAAGCGCGTAACTAAGAATTATTTGACAAACCGTTTTAATATCATACAAAAGTTTAAACTGACGTGATGGTAAAAGTTGAAAATTAATTCTTTCTGCACTTACTAATTATTTTGTTTCAGATAATATTATTTCGAAATGTACTTGACGCAAAAGAGTTCGAAATAATTCGTACAAACATCGCGTGCGTCACGATATGTCTTGTGTAGAGGTATAATATTAGACACCCGGTGAACGCACATCTCGTACGTTGATATCTCACCGCTATAAGATTCACGGGAATATCGCACTGTATGTGCATGCACGTTTCAGATGCGTGTGCGTGTCCATTCAGTAACTCTTCTTTCTAGTGGCCCATTGAAGAATCCAGCCAGTCGGTGTGTCCATTAAGACGTATTATCTTGACACTTTGAGGACCGAAGGTACTGGATTTGTATCTTATCACCGTGTTTTTTAAGATTCATGAAATGATCTATGAATTGAATTATTGAACATTGTACGTTATACAGTATATTCAAATGATTTATGTTGTAAGCAGTGTAAATCTGATTTCATAAATTTGACTGAACTCAATTTATTTGGACGGAAATTGCAGGTACTGATTAATTTTAATTTCGATTTATGCCAATATTTGCAAAAAAAAAATGTGACTATAATTTTTTAAAATAAATTTGAATAATATTTTTATCTAATGGCACATAGAAAAACATAAGCAGTAAGACGTAAGCAAATTGGTCAATGGTTGACAAAGTAAGACAATAACGTAAGCAATAGCAAATAAAAAATGATTTGCTTACTCCGCTTACGTTTTTCTATTCTCTACTAGCTTAAGTGATTATAAGAATGTAAGTAGGCATTACGACATACTTAGCAATTGAAGCTAGCAAATGAATAATTAAGGTCGATGAAGACGAAAATGCGATCTGTCGTAATGAGGGAAATCGGACATCTCTAAGTTTAGCTCGTATTTGCATGCAGATCAGGGACGAATTCGAGTTGCCAAAGCGCCATAACATATAAGAATTGATAAATTTTTTTCAATGAAGAGATTTAACAGAGGTACATATAAAATACTTGCTAAGTAGTTGATCCTTTTTGCTTTGTTTCAAATCACATGTAATGTTTATGATCTTCAAAGTTCCCTAAAAAAGTATTGAATTCTCAATTTCAAAATTTCGAAAGTCATTCCAGATTTAGGGATTATTGAGTTCTTTGAAAAAAAAAACATTAAGTCACATACATTCTACAATAAGTCAATAGTAATACAATAAATCAGAAATCAGAAACTAGAAATTGACCAATTATAATAAATTATTCTTCTTTCATTTGACTGTGATTGGTCAATTTTTTGCTTCTGACTGCTTCGATTTATGTATTACTAATGGCTTATTGTAGAATGGCCATTATATGCCCAATTCTACCAATTTGGATTCTTTATACTCTTCATTTTTTTTTATTCTTGGAACTAAACGAAGGCAAAGATAAGTTGAAGTATCGAGAGTATTTTTTATTCTCCATGGGAGGATTAAGTTGGCTAATTGGTAGAAATGGACATTAATCATCAATTAGATAATTATAAAATTATTTTGATATAATATGTCTGACGTGAATCTGTCATTTGGCAAGCTCCTAAGAAAAGAAAGACCGATGTTGCACAAGGATGTTCCTTAACTACGATCCAGAAATACTAATTTCGAAATCGTACCCCACCGATTTATCTTTCGCCCATTGACGAAAGCAGGAAGCGCAACTCTCGTGACGATTGTCGGTTTCCGGATGCGCTTGCCTGAGATCAGATCTCATCTGTTTAAAAATAAAGCGATTAAACAAAATTAATTGAACAATATACGAGAATGGGACATACAAAAAGTATATTTGTAATACATAAGAATAATTTAAATTAGAAAAAATACTTATTCTGAAGATAATTTAATAAGAATTTGTAGTAAAGTTCTCATTGATGTATGCTATATTAATTTTGGTGAAAAAGGAAGTTATATATGGTATATGTTTATGTAGTTAGTTATATATTTGTGTAAGTTATTTATGTGCAACTCTTATATAAAGTTGCAATCGGCATTCGCCTAAATTTATGTTTCTGACATCATAATTGAAGACATCTTGCACTGCAGATGTGACCAACCCTTAATAGAAATAGCAAATAGAACACGATCGTGTCTTGTATAACATTATTTAAAAAATCTAATTAACTGGAAGATAGAAGTGCCAGCAGACTGGTACTTCGAATCGAAATATCACGATTTCGCATGGTTGTAATAAGTTTAGAGGCGAGTTTTTGGCTGATGACCAACGATTAAACAGTATCTACAACGATGATGATAGCGAGTGCTTGGATCGCGCTTATGTATCGCAACTCAATTTAACTATCGCCGTTTATATTATATTCGTGTCTACCTGTCGTCGGCAGCGCAAGAATCCGTAGATCCGACCGATGCCAATGATCGAAAAATAGATACGAGCGCAACCTGTTCGAAATAGCCAAAGTGAAACCTATGACACGCGGAACGCGATAGCTCTTCCAAGCCGACGTAACATTGCATTCAAACCTGTGGATTGTTGATTAATCTACGATCAATTTTCAGTGAAAGATGTTGACAAAACAAATGACACCATTAATTTCTGAATTTAGTTAGGAGAATAAGAATGTTCGCGTTGCAATGAAATTGATTTGAAATATGTTTAAGTATTCAATTTAGTTGAAAAATCACGTACACTAATGTCGATTTTAAGTCTAAAATGTTTTCATATTCTTTTAATTTTCTCTTTTACAGGTCAAGAGATCACTCGCGCCCGCGAAGGTGTCTAAGCTCAAAAGAAGGAAGGGGGTCTAATTATAGAAGTCGTTGTACCGCTCGGTGGAGAACGATGGAGGGTGTGAGTGCGGGTGCACGAATAAGAATCGGTTGTGCATTGGGCGGTCATAAAATGCAGTCTGCATCCGCTCGACGCAGATGTACTGCGGAACGGGGTTCGTTCCTCATCCTACAAGGAGTCCGCAAAGGATCTCTCGTTTCGGTGTTAAGCGATCTACTGAGATGTATCCGGTACTACAATATATGAATTAGATTGAAGATCAAATTTAACTTAATTGTGAGTCGCCATTGCTCTTACTAAATATATCGTTATTTTTTACTAAAACGATAATTAAATTTGACACTATATCGTGTCAATTTGACACTATATAATGTCAAATTGACACTGTATAATGTCAAACATAACCACTGTTTCAATATAAAATAACGATTGAGTAATAAGAACAGTAGCGACTCACATTAAGTTAAATTTGATACTGTAGATTTAACAATGAAACGCATTGCATTTCTGTTGTAATTTCCACATATACGTACATTCACATATTTGATTCATTTTATTTATACCAGAATTATAAATAATTTATAGTTCATAAATAAATTAAATATAAAGAAACAATATCTCCATACATAAGTAATTATTTATATAAATTCTTGATATTAATTTATTCATGAAATTATGAAATAAGCTTAAATAACGGGGATATTTAAACTATTTTAAAAACAATCGAATATTTGAAATGGACATTAATGACAATTTTTTTGAAGAATCGACTCTTCAATCAAGGAAGTAATAAGAATAAAGATTAGATACATTATCTCATGCCACTTGATATTAATCGGCACTTCATTGAGAACTTTTCCAGCACGTTAACGCGCTATCTTGGATACGGCATGACTTCGTTCATTACACCATTCATTCATCCGGCAGCCATGTGGTTCATTGCTAACCCTTGCGGCACTTCCTGTCTCGTACAATGATAATAAAGAGATTCTAGTACTTCGTACCAAATTTTATATTAGGAAAAATTATAAGAATAGCTCAAAATCATATACATGTATATACGTGTGTGTGTGTGTGTGTGTGTGTGTGTGTGTGTGTGTGTGTGTGTGTATGTGTGTAATATAACAAAAGAATTATTTTAATTACGCTAAATGTATTTTATATCCGCAGCTTTGCCGTTTGATCACACACTTAAATTAATTATAAAACCAATAGATCCTTATAAAATCCATACAGATCTCTATTTAAAAAAAGAGCATTCTTTTTCGCAATTACCATTATACTTGATAACCGCGAAAAAGAATGAAGACTATTTTGCAATGCAATACAAAGTTTTCCTTTTAATTTCGCTGATGCAAACTTCCACCATTTCTGGAGTAATGATTTCTGGAGTGAGGTCCGATCGCGCTGTTTGTCGACAAGTTCCAGCTGCTAGATCTCGCGCGTGATCAACTCGTGCCGGGCAAGCTGCGATTATTATTGTTTCCTTTTTTTCTCTCTTCTCTTTCTCTCACTCTCTATGTCTCTCTCTCGAAGTAGCCGAGTGTATGCCCGTGACGTGGCCATGTAAGGGCTAGGCGGGGGTGCCATGCTGGGGCCGCTAATTTTAGATCGACTCCCGTGTTTCCAGGAGTCGCCTCAGCGAATCGGCAGCTGGTGATTCGACGAGCTGCTGCCTCTCTCGCGTGCACGTGGATCCGGTATACAATGCGTGTCGCGTTGGTCGCGCGGCGTCCACCGGTCATCCCCCTTCTCGCTTCTCTCGTCTCGAAGAAGGCCGACGTGTCCGATCGTCTTGGTCCAGATGTATCTCGCAATCCCTCTTCCTTCGAGACACGTCACACGTGGTCACAATCGATCAAGAGAGCCTTCTAGGTAAGAAATTGCGCATCGAGTGCTAAATATTTTAAATGTTTCCTGCGTCTATAAATTAAAATATAAATTATAATAATATGTGTAAAAAGTAATATATATGTGTATATGTATACAATTATATATACGCAAGTGTATACATAATAAATATTTGTACATGTTCTTTAATTGTACTATGTTTATGTCTATGTATATTAATTCCAAAATTTCCAACTGTCAAACCCGTATATAAAAGAGAATACGACGTCATTAGAAAAACCGGAAACGAAGCAAAGGCTTTGAGAAACGTAAAGAACCGCGTTGAGTAGAAACGCATCCTTTCGCTTCTGACGTGAAAAGGGGAAATGAACGCATGCACGAACGTTTCTTTATGGCGCAAACTGAGACGGCAGGGGGTAAACGAAAAATCTGGTAGCGGCTGGTGCAGCGGATGTTTGAAGCCACTGAAGAAAGCGAAGCGGTGGTTCCTGTCGTAGCTTCCCTCGCGCTTCGTCTTCGCCACCTCTCGCGGTCCCTCGCGAGCCTCCTTCTCTCGGTCAGCGTAGGAGGCACACATTTCGGCGGATGTGATGTTTAGAACAAGAACCACCCCGCGACTGACAAAAAGCCCAGCATCGTATAAATAGGCGGTGGTTGCTGCCACTGCGGTTGGCGGTCGTAAACTGATATCGCTTTGACCCATATAACACGGATTGATTGTTTGTGAAACGATGAGCAATCAGTCGTTTTCATATTTGGAGAACGGATCTTCAACAGAAGGAAAAAGAATCGTGTCATAAGATTCGTTGAATTTCACTTCTTGTTAGTCGAATCCAACATCTACAGTATGGTATAGGTCATTCATTCCACATATTACAGTTACTAAATTACAAAAAAAAAAATAAATTTATTAGCACATACCATTACACACAGACACAACATGTCAAAAGTTTTTAGAATATCGAAAGACATGTAGAACGCTAAAATAATTGAATTTTGGACGCCTAAGAAGAAAAATTAAGTCAATATTGTTAAAAGTACAATCACGTCTCCGGGTTTCGATGTGTCCAACACGTGGCTTGCTATCTCTACTCTCTTCTGGCTCCTGCTGAGACACCGAGAGACCTCCCGGCGTCGGTCGGCCCGCATGTGCACAAGAGAGGGCCCTCTCTGGTTGTCGAATTGTTTCATCCATTCGTCAGTCTTATTATTCAAAGATGAGAATGCGTAAAAGAAGTCAGGATCGGGTCCAGAGACCAACGCAGGGTTCACACCTCCTCGGTGTCTTCCGCGGGATTGTAAATAGATTCTTTTTGTAGCAGGTTTTTTTGTAGTAGTGCATCAACTTCGTGGGAGAGAATGAATGAAACCACCAACCACGTATTGATATCTATGATAGTTTAATGCTAGCAGTGTGAAACATTGCCTATAAATGGAAATATATCAATTGTATAAAGAAGGGAAGAAGATCAATTTTCAAGCGTATATAATAACATTTTGTCCAAAGAAATTTCGAATTTCTATAATTATTATTCTATAAAACTAAAGCGACATACGATTAAATCAAACAAAAAATAAGGATATTTATTTTAACGTGTATTAAAATTTTTATAAGAAATTATACTCCAATAAATCAACTTAATCAATTTTCTGACTTTACATTTATCGTTTCGTTTCTACAGCTGTAGACAAGGAAACGCTGTCAATGCTGTAACGATTGGTGTTAATGATTTAATGCAAAGGTCGTAAATGTGATTGGGTATGGCAATATGGCAACGCGCGGTACGTTTTCTCTTACGGAATAGGAGTATCACCTGCTCGTATTGTTTAACTGAGTGAAATGAAACGGCGTCCGGTGCAGGACCAGATTGCGGCCGGCGCGTGCCCGATTCGCGGAAATCTGACACTCTTACTTTTACGACATTCTGCACGGTGCAGGCACTTAAAAATCTGTCTTGAAAAGCTGCAGCCGTTTCACGGTGCAACACGGAGAAATTGTGCTTGCGTTCAAATACATAGGATATGTTTGAGATGTATCATGTTTTCATTACCACTTACATATACAAATTCTTATTATAATTAATTCATGGACAAAAAATTGTTTCACAATTATACAATTTTAAAAGAGAAAATACAGCTTTTTTAAAAAACAAATATTAAGAGGAATAGATATCTTAAAATGTGAAAGTTTTGAACAGCATAGTCTTCATGTCGAGAATGTCATAAAGCCATTTTGGTTGAAAAGCTATGTTTAACCGATGCACAAACTGATGTCCCTCGAATACGTATGTCACCTATTAAAAAATTATGTTATACGAAAGTACATTTAATGTTAATCTTTAATTTAATATGTGGCTACTATATGTATAAACCCCCCCCCCCCCGGCTAGTATTTTTTATTACTTCAGATACAAGTTTGTACAAATGTAATTATATATATAGCACGGTTTATGTTTCTATAGTTTCAATATCTATTTATATTGTAACATATTCAAATTATGATAAAACATGTTAGTAAAAGTAATTCCCGATATTATCCAGATCTGCTCATTCTCTGTTGACGTATAATGTATATTGAGATGCGCGCAAGAGAGAGAGAGAGAGAGAGAGAGAGAGAGAGAGAGAGAGAGCGCAAGGGGAGAAAGAGCTGAAAATATACACAACAAACTAACGTCGACTGGAAAGTGCGGCGGCTGCATGCGACTCGCCGCGATACAGAAGTACACGCTGACAGTCACATATGGCTCCGGATATGCCGGTGTGGGTATGCTCCATAGAACATGATACACATAGAATTCAGTGGTGTCTTCTTTGTTAAGGCTGATAAACTTTACACTGAACATCCAATTTTTCAAAGCCTATAGAAGATCAATAAAACGCGTTTTTACTTCCCTTAACATGTCGTTCCTTTTTTAATTGTACCGATAATTGATTCCATCGGAGCATCTCCTCTTTCACACATCGCAGACCTTTTCGTACATTCATATTTCCATACGTAAGCCATTTTGTACGGTTAAGCGAGGACTGATGATCCTAACAGTTAAGAGCAAATGATATAAGAATTATTTATCAGCAATACAGATAATTGTTATATGTATATACACGTGAGATACCGTTTCAATAATATATATGAAATTTTATGGGCATTATACCGTAATTGACAAATAAGAAGTTTAACGAACCATCACAGTGACAATTTTCATTGCGGAGATAACCGCAGAATCGACGAATCGTCTCACAAAATGCGTCACATCTTGGTAAAATTCAACCTCTTGATCTTTCGCAGATTGTATATTATACACTGATTGCTTTTTTCGCAAAACCATCCTGATTAGGGATCCTATAAAGGTTGTGTGTGAATTTTAAAATATTTCTGAAGATTTCGATGATTTATTTCGCCAAATTTACAATCGATAGCGATTCGTTACGTTCTTCACATTAAAAAAAAAAACAAAAAAAAAATAGAACGACAGATCTAAGAATTTCTTTCATGATATAGGTATATACATTTACCTACCAGCGTATATAAGACATCTACATATGTACGACAATTAAATATGTATATATATATATATATACGTTGATTTAAATCTATACGAGAACGATTCGCGATTAAAGCTACGTGATTAAAGCTTATGTTAACATTCGTTTTTTGAGTGATTAGAGTCATGCTGATTGCGCGCGGCTTTCGTAGATGCTTCCAATCCTGTTACGGCCGCTAGCACTTCAAACAGACTTTCCATCAGTCTACCAAATATTTCTGACATCTCGTCGTCCTTTCTCGTCACAACAAATATATCTAAAACATATTAAGATGCAAAATAAACAATATGTATTTTATGTATTGTTATATATAATATAGATTACGCAAATATTAAAAAAAGAAACAATAATGACATTATACAATTTATAAAAGAATATTGATTATAGTATTTTGATAGTTTTAAAAATTACATATTCAAAGTATTTTTCACATTTCTATCTTCTTTCTTCAAATATAAAAAATATGTTGTATATAAAATATTATGCCGTTAAAATATTATTGAGCATTTAATGCAGCGTCTATTAAACTCACCTGATCTATCTTGACCTATATATTTGCAGTACATATTAACAGCCGTCGTTACATCATCGTCATCATGAAAAGCATCTCCGGGCCATTGTGCTCTGTGCAATCTTACGGCTTCGAGCGCCGGACACCATCGGGCATTTCTCAAAAGTTCGGCAACTCTCGCAACTTCTTCCACAGCTCCAGAGCCCGGTAGAGGACTAGGACTAGGTGTTGGAGTAGGTGTCCCTCGTTCACTTTCGGTGCTTTCTTCGAGCGCTCTGCTTAATGCTATTTTCATATTAGCGATCTCGACTGATAAATCTTGTAAAGGAATCTGTACGTTTCTAGCAGCGTTCATTAGCGCCCCTAACATTTTGTTCGATGCTTCGATCAGCAGAAGTAGTTGGAAGTGTAGTTTGTAAAGCGCTCTGCCTAGATCCAACAACATCTCTTCGACGCCTGCCTCTGTGGTGTGACTGCCGCCTAACGCCTGAAGCTTAGCGGTTGCTTTAGCTGCCTCCAAGCACTGAGAGGAAAACAAATACTATAATTATCTGTTTTAAATAGTTATTATTAAGTATTTTAGCAAAACCTACTTCTGTAGCATGATCCTTCCTATCTAAAAATGTTTCTAAATGTTCTTGAACTTCCAGCATTCCAAAGCGTAGTGTCTCGTTTAGCCGCTGATTCGCGAATATCGTCACTGAAAACCATACTAGAGGCGGCTCAGCTTTAGAACTAAGTAACTCGGCATGACCAGATAAATAGCAACCTAAGTGAGCTGAAGCCGAGCTGCCGTTAGAAAGCAAAGCACTTGCTTCGCGTGTAAGACCGACAGACTTACTGCTCACATCCTGAAACACCCCGATTTTTTGAATAATTTTCTTGGGAAAAATAACAATTACCTCATCATTTGCTTCTATTTTAATAAAATAAATTATATTTTTTGTAGCTTACCCTTAAGATCTTGCTCAGCAACTGGAAGAAGCTTAAAGTATTGTACGGAGCTTGAGTGATGAGACTTTGAATTTGCTGCCTCCATATCTCTTCGGCGTCGTCTCGTACAACTTGTCGGAAGGGCATCAACGCGGACAAATTCGGTGAAGCGTTGCAAGGCGTAACGTCGCCGAGATCTCCTGCGCTCGAGCCACTGTAGGTGAAGAATTCAAATAAAACGATTAATATACGTGTTTCCAAAGATCTTCATACAGAAACTTACGATGTGTCAGACCTTGTAGATGAATCGTGACGCGTGCGACTAGGTATCAATGAGAGAGAAGACGGCGGGAACATTCCCGGGATGCTGTTTGCCTCCTGTCCTGTTCCAGACCCTCCTGGTACCTCGTCCAAGGGTGATTCTGAGCCTGCTTCGTCGTCTGATGATTCTTCGGTGACACCGCGCTACGTACATTTATAATTTTATTAATATATAT